TGGTGCCTGGATATCCGAATTATGTGATCAAGAAGGGTATGCCAGTTCTCATACCTTCTGCAGCTATGCACCGTGATGAGAAGTTGTATCCGGAACCGAATCGCTTCAACCCAGATAATTTTGAGCCAGAAAAAGTGAAGAACCGTGACTCTGTAGAGTGGCTTCCATTCGGAGATGGACCACGAAATTGCATTGGAAAGCGATTCGGAGAAATGCAGGCACGCATTGGCCTCGCTATGCTAATTAAGAACTTTAAGTTTTCAGTGTGCGAGAAGACAACGATTCCCATTAAATATGACAAAACAACCTTCGTGGTAGCCAGCGACGGCGGCATTTACCTGAAAGTAGAGCGAGTCTAGAAAGTGTTGGCATAAATATAATACTTATAATAGTAAAGATTGCTTAAAAGACTTTTGCAGAAATAAATAATGATAAATAAATAATAATCAAATGAAGAAATATAATTTAAAGGAAACAATGGACTAAATGGATAATTGAATGTTTTCAAGTGAAATACAAAGATTTAGATTCCATTTATTAATTGATCACTTATAATAGTCATAAATATACGAAAACATTATTTATTTTTATTAGACCCAGTGTCACATGTAACACTTAATAAAACAATAAAATTATTGTACTATAGATAACAAACTTATTCATACACTTCCATAGTTGATAATTTTGGCTAATCGCACTAGAAATACTTCATTAACCACCAGCATTTTGTACTGTCATGCAGACTATGAAAGCTTCTATCTGCCGATAAAAAAGCGAGCCGCGTTCAGTCTGGCTCTCAGTATGCCACGAATGCTAGCCGGCGACGGAATCGACCATGGCCATCGGAATTTTATTACTCACGGCAGTTGTTGCCCTCTTGGGTTACCTCTTCATACGAATGCACCAACGGCTGCACCATTGGCAGAATGCGGGAATTCCCTGCGAGAAACCTAACATCATCACGGGCTGCTTGAGGGGCGTGCAAACTGAGCGATCTTTTCTGGACATTTGGATGCAATACTATGAGAAATTCAAGGGAACTGGACCATTTGCAGGCTTTTACTGGTTCCAGCGTCCAGCTGCGTTTATTTTGGAACCCTTTCTGGTGAAACACATTCTGATAAAGGACTTTAATAAATTCACTGATCGAGGCTTCT